GTAAGGTATTCCGGTGGTGCTCGATCAGGCGAAAGGAAAGAGTGGCCGGGCGTGGCCGGGGTGGGCCACGTGGACCATAACTCGAGGCGTTTTCCACACGACAAGCCGCGCCACCACGGCGTCACCGGGGTCCACCGTCCACCGCCGCCCCGCTGGCCAAAGCCCATTGCAAACTGAAAGACGGCACGAAAAATGGGTTATAGTCTGTTGTTTTAATTTAACGAAGGAAATGAATTGAGTTCCTCGTTCGGTGCGAGGAGAGGGTATACACACACAAATGTGACACGAGGAGCGAATTAGAGAATGCATGATTAGCCATTTTAGCTAATTCTTTTTTTTTTTTTTTCGTGCGAGTAAAAATGAGCGTGCAGCCCAGCAGGAAACAAAGGGCATGTTTTCCCTTTTCTGAACTTCCGATTTCATATATTCAACTGCCATGGGTGGTGTCTGTCCCAGCCCAACGAGCGGTTTGGCGGGCGCCAGGACGGCTCCAGACAGGCCTGGCCGGCTCTCACCTGCAGCAGAGGCGCCCCGTCAATGACTGGGCCCAGTTCTAATGAAATAATCACGATTTATGTTCCTCCTTCCAGTGGCGCGCCGGAGGCTGTGGCCGCCCAAACCCTCCACCCGTCCCTCCCGTTAGACCTCTCCGTTGTCCTCGCCTCTGCCCCACTAACGGCCTAACGCACCCGCCCAGCGGTCCACGTTAGCGTTCAAACGCCATACACTCTAAATGGACGATTTTTTTGGTCCATAGCTACAGGCGTGTAGGTGCACATCTTGCAAGATGCAAACATTTTGAAGCTTGGGTAGTGGCAAATTTGCATCTTCATTTTTCAGTTTTGGACAAAACCAAATTTTGTTCAGAAGAGATACATATTTGTCACAACTCAGGATTCATAAGTGTATATTGCAGGATGTGTAAGACGCACACAGATAAACTAAGTGTGCAACTGCTTAACACTTGTAATTGTGTGACTCCAAGTTGAATATTTGCCAGTGCGCGACTCAATAATGCAATAATGCAAGTGTGCAAGTGTGCAAGTGTACAACTATTAGTTGAACACTTGCAAGGATTTCACTTGCAGTTGCACATTTACAAATGTTAAACAGTTGGACGTTGGACACTTGGTTTTTTCACTGTAGTCTACTCAGAGACGCAACTTAGAATGGAAACAAATTTTCCACCGCCATTTAGAGTGTATACACTGTTGAAAAAATTGCTGTAAATTTACAGCGAAAATGTGATTAATTTTGTTAGCAGCACATTCTGTATTTTTACAGGCGTTACTGTAAAAAAACAACGTTCATGAAAATCTCTGAAACAAAGTTTCCGACCAAAAGCAGTTGTAATAATACGAGTCTCCTGTACAGGATGTGCTGCTAACAAAATTAACTTCTCTTTTCTTGTAAATGTACAGCAAAGTAATACGTAGTAGTTTTTGTTGTGGGCCAATATGGGCCGAATATCACAAGTTTCGAGAGTGTTCAAATGAAAACAACATTTCTGTCACATAACAGGTGTGTGAATCCCGCAGTATGTCGTCAGGTGACAGTTATTTTTAACAGTGTAGCCTCCACTGAAAGTCAGTCGGTTCTGAGCTGATTTTTGTGGTTATTCGAGTTGTTGAATGTGTAATTGATAGCATGTTGCAAAGAGAGAATATTCACGTGATACGTGGTCCCGGCCAGGTTGTTTCCGTACCCTATAAACGACGCCGTGTGGTACGTCTGATCGTGTACAAGATCTCTGGAGTCTGTGTCTGTCTGCCCCTCCCCCCCCCTTCTCTCTCCGAGTGCCTAGACGACCCTCCCGGCACCGGCCGACCTTATTAGAAGTCCAATAATGAGACGCACGCCACCTGACTTCGATGGGCGCCCGGAAACTAGGCCAGCAATGTACTGAAGGTACTGGAGGACACCCCGGCCGGCCCGCCCGGCGCAGCCCGGCGCAGCCCGGCACAGCCCGGCACAGCCCCACCCACCGCGCGACCCTGCCGCCTGCCTGCGGCAGCGCCGGCGCCGGACCTGAAACTTTTAAGGGAACCTGTTATCGTCAGGATCATCTTGAGGGAGAGCAGCGGATAGGATCGGACCTTTGTGGGAACCGTTCATTAATTGGCACCCGTTCCTGGCCAAGTTTTCAAGAGGATGGGCCATTCCGCTGCCGATCGCCCGGGCCGCAGCCGAGTGGCCCTAGAACACTAACAGGGCGCGGGGAGGGGGCGCCCTGGCTTATGGGTCATCACGGAGAAAGGAGGGGGGGGGGCGTTCCCAGCGTCAAGGACGATCTCTTGCTACTGAGGAAAGGAATTGAAAATAGCTGCTGCTGGTTCTGCGCGACGACTCTTCGTCGACCCTTTTCACGACCCGTTTGTAGTAAAAGTCACCCGTCATGCTCGTTTGACAGAGGAGCCAATGATGGCCAACGAGGATGAAATCAGCGTTTCGACGGGGAAG